TAGGACCTAAAATTTATAAAAAAAATAAAAAAAAAAACAAAGGGTGGGTAATGAGTAGGGCTCCGACCCTACTATTTGATCTGATTGTGGCTAGCTTCACGATAATGGTGACAGGGGGATATATATATACAGTTCATTATCCTGATTTGGCGACTTGAGGCCCATGCAGGTTTTTATTGGAAGACCTGTACTTTAAGTAGGATGACTCAATTTGACGTTTAGAACACTCACACTCAGATTTTATTTGCAGATACCACTTAAAGTTAATCCTTACGGGGTATAACCTCTTCCGTGAATACCCACCACAGGGAAAAGCGTGAAAAACCTGTGGCTATCCAAGTGTGCTTTCATCATCCCACAAGTACAATATTACCGCGAGAGAGTGTGGTGTGTGGGTCTTACTGGATTCGAACCAGCTTTCTCCTGTCTCGAATGGGGTAGATGTTCAAGCTACCCAGTATCTACTTGGGAGAACGGCCCGAATGGTGTAACACTGCACCATCCAATCCGGTGACAGGGGGATGTTTTAAGTGATGAAGACGATACGGATCGCAAGAGCGATTGGAAATCCACATCGAAGTGAAGACGAATATGTTATTCGATCTTGGCTCTACAGACTCCATATCGAGAGCTGGAGGTTTGTATGGAACACTACTTACAGGTGTTGAATTGCGTCCCCCTTGTTGTGATCCTAGTCTGCGCAAGGAAGCAAGGGCTTCACAGATAAGACTCAGTGATGAAACAACATGACTTTAGTTATACAAGCTCATATTAATGCAAGACTCAAATGTGGGTCGTGCTCATTATCAGGAGCTTAAGGATCAAACAATGTCGATACGCATTACATGAGTACATCAGACAATCAATGGATACGGCTGTAGGATAGATCGTACATGTATATTATCAGGTCCATTTACTTCTTAGGTAGATAATGCTCTCATCTTTAGATATCCATATTATCCTCAGATAGTCTAAATACATTCGCCCACCACCTGAATATGCATTCCACATTCTTCTTTATATACTATCCTCCCACAATACTTATCCATCTAACCTCGTAATTATAACACCCCTGCCTCCTTTGTAACTATAATAGCTATATGTAGCTGCATGAACCGGTAGGGCACCTGAATAGGATACTTGGAATCAAAAATATCCGTAGAATAAATAATAGCAGCAAAGATATCTTGGCTGGCATAGGCTAAGTCAGGGTCCTATGCTCCTGCAGAGGTACTAGCCAGCAAAAATACTTTTTCAACTTTCACCTCGAGGCTTCTTGTAGAAGTGGATTCGAGACCCAGCTCGGCGTTCCTTTAGCGGGCTGTGAAAACGGATATGATCGTTCAGAGAATTCGCCCTACCAAGCTTTTTAGCCTTTTACGCTGTGAGATAAATCACATTTTCGTGAGGCTCGTCATATATTTCTATCATCACAATAAATAAGAGTAAGTTTATATTATACTTTTATCTGAGTCTATAACTATGGAGGATTTTTCGAATCTTCGTGAAAGACACTCGTTACATTTAGCATATTGTGTCATTTTAACACCATATCTCATCGTTTCGGATAGCGAGGCAACGCGCGATCATCTTTTAGAGCACAGTATAGACTTATATTTCTTTTCCTTACAAATACAATATCTAAGTGTGTCGAGGCCTGATATGAGCTTAATATTCACGCTGATCTTTTGTCTTCTTTGGTGTCTTGCTACCTATATCGATTTTGTAATGAGTAGCCTAGCATGGCACGTGATCTTATGTATATATCCTTAGCTGGCTAGCGCACTAGATATTAATTCATCATGTTCCATACATCACAGATTTATTTCACGAGTACCCCTCTAGAATCCTATCCGAGGTCATTCCAAAGGGTGGCCAATGCCCAATGCCCAATGCCCAACAGTGGGGGATATTCCTACGAAACGGCAGGTTTCTGAAGAGGATTCCTTAAAATTGGACCTATGGAAGAATTTCTAAGATAGCTTGCGTTAATATGTTTACGTTATCCATATTAAGAGGAGTGCGAAGTAGGCTTAGCCATACACGGTATCATGTAACTGGGGTACTAGGGATATTGGCTTTTACCTTGAGGCAAGTAGCCATTCTAAGATATAAATATGATGCAGATAACTCTTGGCATAGAAATTCCGACTGAGCTTGTGTTTTGCGGCTAGAAATCACAAAGTATTCTCACACCTAATTCTTGTGTAGAATCAAAAATTAGTTAGAAATTGATATTACATTGCTAGGCATCGCTTGCTTGTGTAAAACGGTAGACCAACTCCAAATGTCCAGTCTTTCTGAATAATTGTGCCAGCTGGACTTGGCAACTGAGCTACCATCTCCACATCATTCAAAACAAGAACATATTGATACAGAATTGTTTGTTAGTCACAAAGCGTATATTTCAACTCAAATAAACTAATATGCCCCTTACAACAATAGCTTCTTGTCTTGCCGTAGATAAGGACTAGTGATCAATTAGAGAACTTTCAGACTTGAATTAAGGGCTGTTCTTGAAACGTATTTTCGACTGGATTTGTTTGTGGTTCATTACGTTGGTTGTCAACCTCAGTAGTGTGTCCCTCCGTTGTTTGCGCGGATGAATCACCTTCAGAAGCCTCGTCGATATTTTGTGCCGTCTGTTCTATTTCAGCTTCAATGAGCTGTTGCTGGCGTTCTTCATCTCTGTTTGCTTCTGCTTCTCTATGTGCGATATGCCTCTCGCCAACACCGGGAACCAAGCTGGCAATAAATAAAATTAGAGCCTGCTCTGCCCGCCTTATTTGTGCCATTATCCAGCCATTGTTTTGCTGAACTCGTCGTTCAATCAGTCTGGCAGCCATTTCAGCTGGATCTGGTTCGGCTGTTCGCCGGACAGGGGTGTTCCTATTTCTTACTGGCTGTATAGCATTTTCGTTCCTTTCTAGTAAAGGTGCACGGTGGAGTGGCTGTATAGCGTTTTCGCCGTCAAGAGGCCCTAGTGGTATTAATGTATTTAGGTGCCTCCTTATAGGGCCCCATATTTGCTCGGCAGTGCTATTGAGTATTCCAGTGTGAATAACAAAAACGAGTATTGCCATAGCACTAACCATCAGCCAGCGGAACCAGCTAGAGCTACCAACAGTAAAAAACCATACAAATCCAACTAGCCTTAAAATTAACCACAACATCTGCCCTATTTGAAGACCAGCCCCACCAGCACGCATGTCTGCGCGAGCTGGGGCTAAACCAGGCTCTGCCAGATTTTGATTACCATGGCGTCGTTCACGCGCAAGCCGTCGGGAACCATGTCGATTTCTCTGCTCCGGTAAGTTAGCCGGAGCGACACCGTCCGAGGGAGTACTGGGAATAGAGCGATTTAAGCTGGACACCCGCAGAGGAGTAAAGAAATTCTGTGTGTTGCTCATCAAAATTGCCCTAGGACCACTAGGAGATGAGAGAATATAAACAAGAGGTTCACTAGAGGCAGGACCATGAGGCCTAGAGTTCCTAGCTTCGGGATGATCAAAATTATTTGATGGTGAAGAGTCATGTGACGCTGTAGACGGTATTGAATTGAGGCTTGCTATTGATTCTTTATTTGCTAAACTGTCGGAAGATGAAGAGTCTGTTGAAATCGAGGGCTGATTTAAAGCGTTTACTCTGCTTTGATTCTGCATATTCTGAATTGCTAGTATCCTATCGGAATGCCGCATAGCAACATGGTTGTGCTGATCACGTACCTGTTCCAAAGGTTGACCATGAAACTGCTGATGAGTATTATAGCCAGATTGAAACTGAGTGGCAGATGGAGCTTCATTTATTGTTATCTGCCATCTTCCCCCATTAGAATTTGAACGCTCATTGCTGAATGTCGTCGGGTTATACTGAATTGTATTTGTATTTGACACTATTCCGTTTATCTCACTGGGAAGTGCTTCTTGAACGTTGTTATCTCTAAATTGAGGGTTTAGGCCTTGATCTAATGTACGCTCCCGCTGTTGCTGACTGATTAAATTCTGTACACTCGTGGAGCCTGGTCTCATTAAGAGTGATGATACACTTTCGCCTCTGTCAACAGAGCTAGACTGGCTTAGTCTATGTGAGCTGTGTGCTTCTATTGTATTTATCTCTTGGTTCAAGCGTTGTGTGTCACGCTGTAGCTGCTGTAGCCTCTGGCCCATGAGAGTTTGAAGGGCCTCTACCTGCCGTAAAACATACTGTTGCTGTGTCTGCGAATTTGGTAGGGCCTGCTGGGCTTGTAGACCCTGAAATGCACTGGATTGATCGTGGCTAGGAATATGACGTTCTATAGCCTGGTTTACTTGCGATCTAGATACCTGTGCAGTAAGAGCTGGCGCGCCTGTGTCTCTTGCGTGAGTTGTTCCGATGCTTGAACTGGAGTCAATATCTTCTGATGAAGGTCGCAGAACCAGATGTATGACATAGTATCCAGGGCTTTTGAACTATGTAGAATTACAATTAGTATTATTTTGTATGAAAATTTGGTTGATGTACCATTTCCTCGCCGAATACTTCCAGCATTGTTTCGGATTCTCTTGCTAGCATACGGCCTCGATGTATAAGTCTCTGTAAGTCATGTGATGGTCTAGATGGAACTGCATCCCGAATTAAGGCTTTTAATTCCTGAACTCGTGTATTAACAGATAAATGTTTGAATTCAAGTGTCTGAGGAACTCCAACTGATGGTGATACAACGTGGAGGCAGAAAGTTAAATCATTTTTATCTTCCTTATTCTTTGTGCCGGAAGATTGAATTTTAGATTCAGACATAGTTCTCCAAGTCAAGGTAAAGAATTATTTCTTAACTGTATATAGCAAATAATAAGGATATGGCTTTTAGGCTAGCTGAGCGGCAAGGTGTTATTCGGCTCATTTGCATGTGAAGTAATAACGTGTTTGATCCTTGCAGATTACCCACCTTGACACATAAAGTAACTTCAACCCTTATACCCAAACGGCGTCCAAACTAATATAGTAAATACCTTCTTCATTCCATGGCTCCGAGTCAGACCACCACATACACCCGACTCGTGTATGCGCGGTTATGTTTGCAAGCTACTCTAACTGCTCAACATTCAAAGATTAATCGGCATATTTGCTATCTGACAGACCGTAAGCGATTTTTCTCGTCACAGAAAGGGCTCGCCCGCCCGCTTCTCACACCACGGCAGAAAGGCACATTATCAAGAAAGATTCGATGGGTTCCTATCTCTTTAGTAGTTGGAATTTGTTTCGCCGGGCTTGCTCAGATATACAACAACTTCAGAAGGGAGTCTACACAATGCAAATATTCGAACGATGTTTATTCAGTGAGAGAACCAAATAAGCGGGAGAAGCCCAAGGCATCTGGTCCATGGTTCGTCTATTGCACACAATCTTGTCGATTATTTCTACTCCGAAATATAACCTTTCATTAGGCAAATTCAGATTATGTCAACCCTGCCACTAAAAGCTTTATCTAGAATTTGGGGCAAATTTAATGAACTAGAGATCCCTTATTTGCTACGAGTCCCTGGGTTTAAGTTATATTCATATCTCTTCGACGTTAAGTATGGCAAACTTGGTCGATCTCTATACAATTTTGCTAAGATGTAGGAAGCCTATCAGAGGTATCTGAGCCCGACTTACACAATTATCCAAATTTGTCTGCCTTCTTTTACCGAACTTTAAAACCTGGCGTCCGTCCTCTCGACGAGAATCCTAATGCGCTCCTTTGCCCTGCAGACGGAAAAATCCTTCAATTCGGAATAATTGAGGGTGATAAAGTCAAACAAGTTAAAGGCATAACGTATAGCCTTGATGCTCTACTCGGTGGACCTAACGACTTTCAAAACCCACTGAATAGTGAGCTCATTCCAGAAATCAGCGCTTCATCTCCTGCAACACCAAACAGAGAAGATCAAACCAAAGTTGTAGAGCCTGGTGAAAACTTTGCAAAGGTAAATGGTATATCATACACTTTAATAAACCTATTTTCTGGATCTAAAAAATATAACAAAAAGACGGCCGACGCATCTACTTTTCCAAAACAGGTGTCGGAGGAGGAGGTTCAGGCAGAATTTGACTCGGAAAATTGTTTGAGTCACCAGGACGTCGTCTCTAAGCCTCGGACGACGCTTTACTTTGTTGTTATATATCTAGCACCAGGGGACTATCATAGATTCCACTCTCCCTGTGCATGGGTTGTTGAAAAGCGTCGGCATTTTGCCGGAGAACTGTTCAGTGTCTCGCCATATCTTCAAAGGAAACTTCCTGGCTTATTTACATTGAATGAGCGAGTGGTACTACTTGGACGGTGGCGATGGGGGTTTTTCTCCTTTGTGCCTGTAGGTGCAACAAATGTTGGTTCAATTAAAATAAACTTTGATAGAGAATTACGGACTAACTCGCTCACAACTGATACTGCTGCTGATAAAGCTGCAGAAGAGGCAGCCAGACGCAACGAGCCGTACTGTGGGTACTCGGAGGCTACCTATGAGGCAGCAAATCCCATTCTACGGGGTCATCCATTACGTCGAGGCGAGGAGATGGGTGGCTTCCAACTCGGTAGTACAGTTGTACTCGTATTTGAAGCAAACAAAGGACAAAGACCAAGTCTCGATGAAGGCTGGATGGGTGATAGTACAGACAGGAAAGGTGGCTGGATTTGGGCTGTTGAGCAAGGACAGAAAGTCAAAATGGGTCAAGCAATAGGATGGACGAATGATTAAGCTTAGGGTATGAATTTTGGTTTCTCCTACCTAACAGTAATTTTAATGATTTGTTTAGATATTACCTCAACAATTCACTCTCGTCGCTCACAGACAATACGTCTCCTGAGGTCGTTACAGCGAACCGTCAAGGTAATGGAAGCATAATCATGTGAATCACTGTTATAAGCCATCAAGGTCGTTTCGTTGTCTGGATGTGACGTCAACAACTCGGAGAGTATGGCCCATCAAGGTCATACTAGGCTTCATGTTCTCTTTGGCAGTTATCATGATAGAAGAGATCGAAATATATCTCAGAATTACAATTCATACTCTATTCACTCATGGATCTGCCCGTTCACGATGTCCTTATTATAGGTAGCGGGCCCTGTGGCCTCGCAGTAGCCAGTCGTCTCAAAGAAGAGACGCCTGGCTCGCTTTTTACAGACTCAGAGCATCAGCGATTCCATTTTATGAAAGTTTCCAACAAATCTCGGCAAACAACAAAATGTAAGCGATGTAGCCGACGCCCTCGAACTGCTCAAGATCGCCTGCTATCAGGGCCAACAATTCCAGGTAAAGGCTTGGACATTGTAGTCCTTGATGCTCAAGGAGATAGTTGGATGCATTCTTGGAACCAGAATTTTGAAAAACTGAAGATTAGCCATTTAAGAAGTCCCATGTTTTTTCACCCAGATCCCAGTGATCGTGATGGTCTGCGAGCCTTTGCTTTTTTAAAGGGAAGATTAAATGAACTCAAGGAAATCGAGGGTGTGGTTGGCAAGGAGCTAAGTAAACATCAAAGAAAACAAAAGCAAAAGAACAGGTGAGAAAGCTTAGGTCAAAGATTGTCTTTAATTAACAATGCACAGGGACAATTCTCAGCCTCATATTACTTATCTGGACGAGCGTTACCGTGATGACTATTTTAGGCCTAGTCAGTCTCTCTTCAAGGCATATTGTGAGGATATTGTCGATCGTTATGGTATATCAAAAATCGTACAAAAGTCACAGGTCAACTCAATTAACTTTGATGCGGATCAAGAGATCTTCTCACTCAAAACGTCGACAGGTGAAAAAAAGGCTCGCATAGTTGTTCTTGCTGTCGGTTCAGCTTTAGAGCCTCATCTACCTCTAGATTGTCCTTTCAGTGTCGCACCAAGTGTTACACATATAATGAGCTCCGATAATTATCCAAACGTCTTGCCCTTAAAGAAATCTAATAAATCTGTTAAAACGATTGTTATCGTCGGTGGCGGTCTAACAAGCGCCCAAGTCGCAAAACTCGCGGCTGATGAAGGAATTTCAAAAATCTACCTAATTCTTCGAGGTTCCTTTAAGACAAAACATTTTGACGTGGATCTTCATTGGCTAGCTAAATTCAGGAACAAAAGTATGAATGAGTTCTATTATGCAGACTCCGACGAAGAAAGATGGGAGATTATGAAATCTGCTAGAGGTGGAGGAAGTGTTAATCCAGAATTTAAGGAAGTTGTTGAAAAGCTCCAAAAGCAAGGAAGATTGGTTTTAAAAGTTCATACAACCGTTGAAGAAGCTAAATGGGAGGAGAATATATGTTCGTGGAGTATTAGCCTCAAAACAAAGTGTGATAGCCCGGAAAAAATACAAGCAGACCATGTCATTTACGCTACAGGCACACCAGTCAGTATAAGCTCGCTTCCAGCTATCCAACCACTTTTTGAACAATATCCTATCAACACGGTTGGTGGCATGCCCTGTCTGACAGATGAATTAATGTGGAAAGAGGGTGTCCCGTTATTTGTTACTGGTAAACTGGTATGATTTTGATCCCATGGATTCTCATCTCCCAAATTTATCGCAATGGTATGCTAACTCAGTATTGATACAGGGAGGATTGAGACTTGGTCCTGCCGCTGGCAATCTAGAAGGTGCAAGATTAGGTGCTGAATTTATAGCTGGTAAAATAGCCGATCTATTACCTCTCTGGAAAGTCAAGAATGAAGACCATGGTTATTCAGCCAAATTGTTTGGAGATCATGATGTTGACATGACAAGATTAGGCTTAGGACAAGCTAATCAGTTTGACATTCTCGGGAAGTCTCCCCAAGACCCTCAGCTGGATGAGTAAAATGGATGTAGATTTTGTAGAAACCTAATGCAAATCAAATCCACAAAAAAATTTACAATCGAGATCTCTCCATTCGTACCCAAAAGACCTTATCACGGCCGTACGATGATCAAGAACATCATTAAAACTAGTCTTTTAAATGAAATAAAGGACGATTTACTTTGGTGCGCCTAGATACTCTTACAAGCTAATTTAAATCTAGGCTATAAATATTAAAATGTCATTTACAGGTAAACGGGCAAGGCAACGCTGGGGCATACCATTGTGTTTCCGTTAAGTTTTGGGACCTTAGTCTTCTATCATGCTTAACATGGCGTCTCTTTGACAGGATTTTTGGATTATTTATTGATATTCTGTTGCTATACATAAGTTGAGTCAAATAATTTTTTTCTATATAGTACAAATCCCGAGTAGAACATAAGGCGCCAAAACTTACTGCCTTGGGTAGCTGAGGCGTTTAGTTTTTTTGTGCAGAGGGCTATGGAAGAGTTTTGCTTCACCAAAACTTTGTACAATGACAACAAGGTTTCTTGGGCATCAAAATGCGGGTTAAGGTAAGCAATTACATATTTGGGTTGGGTGAAATGGTTGGAGTCAAAAATCCTTCTTTGCAAACTTCTAGTTAGTCTCATGATGATGAAATTCTGTTCCATATCGCGGGTAGATTTTTGAAAAGAATGTTTCTACAACTAATTTTTTGTTTGAATGAATAAATGAAGGCTTATTCGTGACGGGCACAAGCTCTGCACTCAGGGAGCATGACACGGAGAAGGCGATACCTTCCCTGACAACAATATACGACAATAATTCAGTTTGACATTTGGACTACTCATGTAGTGGGTGCATTTGCTGGTACCAATCGAAACCTTGGTGCTAGGGACCTTCACCCTTCCCTCAACCGTTAATATTCACCTAAGGGGAAACATGAAAAACCTTTGGCTACCCTAACATGCCTTTGCTATCTTGTATATAGCCGCCGCGCGAGATATGGCCTCACAGTCCTCTCCTTCTCGAGTTAGGTAGGTGTCCAGGCTACCCAGACTTTAATTCGGGGAGACGACGACCAGGAGGCCGACCAGGAGGCCGACCAAAACACCTTCCATTGTTGCCTATTCTTAGAGTGCCGGTTGAACTATCCAAAATCTTTGCTTCTACACCCACAGACAATCTGAAGTCGAAGACACTCGAAAAATGTGTGCCCCAGCATGCCCATTTGTGACCTCTTCACTCGTTCGTCCCACGCCCCAGCTGCCTATCCTCCCTCAAGATGTGAAGCCCCATTAAAGCAACAGTCTCCCATAGACAAGGATCCGAGCTTTGTAGAATTATGACTTGTATCCCCCTCGCGGGTATACATAGCACCGTAAATGTATAGTGGGAGATTGCCGGTTTTTGATGAGGCAAATGCCCGATTGCAATTGGAGTTAGGCCATTATCGAAATTTGAGGCGAGGTAGTGTGGTAAGATTGAGGTGGAGGACTCGCGTGAGAATGATAGGTCCGACATTGACGATGAGTCGGCGATTTTAGATGTGCTTGTGAGTGCCTTCGACTTCAATTTGGATGCGATTCTTCTTGGCTATCCCAGATATGCATGGCATACTGGGCGATTACATCGGCATCACTGGAAGGTGAAGAATCTGTCTTTGCCGGCCTAATTTTTCATTTATTTTTTGGTACTTAACGTCTACCAAATAATTATAAAACACTAGTCCCGAATTGGAAAATGACGCTAGAGCTTAATATTCTAGAAAACGGGGGCACTCCGCTTCCCCAAAGAAAGAAGGGACCCAAGATGAAATATGGTGTCAGATGACTTAATACATCACGCTGTCTACGGAAATTTATGTCTTCTAGAGGGGATAAGGGCCAGTCAGAGTGGGAAGAACATCTTCCCCATATGCTAAATTGAACGAAAGGAAAGGAAAGAAAAGAACAGAAAATTTAGCCCATAAGCTTTCCTTTATTTTTATTTTTGTTGGAATTACTACGGTGTGGTTTAACGATCGATCGTAATGATTCAGTAAAGAGTTGTACGATCCTGTTTTTTATTTTTTTTCTTTTAAAGTCCTAAGCTAAAGCTCTAGGTCCACTATCGGTACAAGACTGGTGGAGCCGGCGGGGTTCACTGCTTACAGGCCCAGCTCATTCCAACCGCTGGACTCGCTACAGAAATATTAGGGAGTAAATTACAATGCAGACAACCCCTAAATCAAAAATCACTACTTTTCCCCCTAACTCTAAATAACTGCAGTCTTTCCTGAGAGAATCGACACTCCTCGCCGCGTTTCCTTTCGTGTCATGCGTTGTGGCAATGACTAGTTTATCTGATCCCCACTGAGAGCAGTGGATGAGTGGGCGGGTTGGCTATGAAAACAGCCGGTTTCTTCCGCAAATATTTTGAAGCTATCATGGCACTTGGACCCGAGAAGCTTTTTGATAAAGTCAGTGTGGGACATTGACTTTGTGAGCCTAGGCGTTTGTTGTGCGTGACAGCGACAGTGGATGAAGTGGGATGGAGTAGTTTACTTCCCGCAAGAGCACTCCATAGGAGCGTGTGGATTATTAAAACGGCGATGGTAGCCGCAAAATTATCGTGACCCGTTCGTACTGCGATTAGTGCCCGGAGGAGGTGCCTAGAGAGGGACAATTCGGGTGGTTTGCATCTCCGCACCTGTAGGTTGAGTCGGAAGTATCTAGGCGGAAAGGCCTCTTCCCACCAACTGTCCAGCAATTTCTGCCGTCTGCGATTTATGAGGCCTCGAAGATGTGCCAGAGTACTGGATCCTGGTTGCGTATCCGGGCTTGGCAATTCTCGAAGTGCTGCACGGGCCATGGCGTCTGCCTCTTCATTTCCTTGGATTCCTACATGTCCTGGAAGCCACTTCACTGATATTTCAGCCTTTTTAGATAAAGCACGGAATTTGCGAACATCTTCAAGACTGGTTGAGGACGAGCCTGTCGTTAGTGCGCTTAAAGCCTGCTGGCTGTCTAGAAACACGTGGATTTGCTACGACCCTCCTGCTTTCCTGCACTTTCCATTCTCCAAGAACTCCAGTGCGGCCTCCAAAACCTTCCTTGCTCTTACTATCTCTGCATCCAGCACCTCTCCCCCGTGCTTGATGCAACTTCCTTTGCCGATAAGTTTCCCATCCTTTTTCAGAACGAGACCCCAGGCGGAGCGTCCATGTCCTTCCGATGACCCATCCGAGTATGCGCAAATGTCCGTTCCTGGCACGTCGCTAATCCTTCTAAAGCAACCTTCGCGTTCCATCAACTTTGAGCCTGATTTCCTAGAGTAAACCACCGGCGTCAGAATTTCAGGGGCTTCTGCTTCCTGAAGCTCTCGGTAGGCACGCTGTAATCGTGACATCTGAATTTCCGGTCTGGCTGAGGACTTGACAGACTTTTTGTATTTTCAGGTGCCGACATTCGGGCACACGGAAGCGCTGATCCTCAAAGGGTGTCGATCGTCAAGGGTCTTGAGCCTTGCCGAAAGCCGGAGACGGTTTCCCTCTAGTATGACCTTTGCCGGCGGGATTCCTCCTTCTCTATGAACGACTACGTTTGGTGTTATCCTCATCACTGGCAGTGCAGCCCGCAATCCCATCAGGTTAGCTCGGTCAATCATGCTGCAGAGGTTGGAGGTTGAGGACGTGACTGTTCCTCGTATGGTTGGGCGTTTGGACCCTGGCCACCAGACATCAGATCCAAAATTTGCTAGGGAGACGACGCACATGTCTACTGCGCTGGCAGACGGCCCGGGGGCTGCTCCCCGAAAGGAAGAGTTGAAGCGGCGCATGTGCTGGGCAGCTTTTACTGCTTTACCGCACCACGTAGTTACAAGATATTTAAAGTTGAGTCGTAGATCTAGATACACGACTAACCGGCGAATATTCTCCACAGGCTCAATTAGGGTTCCGTTTACATGAACAACAACTGCATCCTCTCGGCGTCGTCCCGGAAATTGAATAACTTCAGATTTTTCCGTGTCAAAGTCGACGGCATTATTCTGCGCCCATTCGAGAAGATGATCTGTCTCACTTTGTACAGCAGCGGCAGATTCGGCAATTGTGCGGTCGAACCCGAGAATACCGATGTCGTCGGCGTAGCTAAACCTCACCCTCGGAGTACCACTTCGCATCGGCTCCGCCATATACAGAAGGAATAGTAATGGCGATATTGGTGAGCCCTGAGGGACTCCACAGACCAGCTTTCTCTGTGTGGTGACTCCGCCGGAGAAACGCACTTAAACTTTCCGGTTTGTGAGGATTGAAGTCGTCCACCGGAGGATTGAGTCTGGCCATCCCTGAGATTGCATGCGCCTAACCAAGCGATTGTGGAGCACTGCATCGAACTCTCCTTGGACGTCCAAAGTAACGAAAATTGAAGCCCATCCCTGGGAGCATGCTTCTCCGATGTCATGGACTACGCAGGAAACCAGGTCCAATTGCAGATCGCTTTGGGAGCGCACCGAATTGTTGATGGCCAACCACATCATGAGTGATTGCGAGGTTCGCCATTCGCTTGGCAAGAAGTCTTTCTAACCCTTTGCCTATGCATGATAGGAGAGCTATAGGTCTCCAGCCTTTGATTGTGGTTGGGTCCCGATTTGGCTTTTCCAAAGGCACCACTTCTGCAAGTTTGAAGCAAGATAGGTGGGTGCCGAGCCGTATGCAAGCTCTAAAGAGCTGCGTAACACACGGTCCGATCGTCTTCCAGCATATCTCAAGGAGCTCAACCGTGATTCCATCTGCCCCTGGTGCTGTCTTTCCACAGCCGATTGTGCAAGTTCGCACTTCCTCGTCTGAGATTTCACCTTCCCAAGGTATTCGATTATCGCTTGGAGTGTTGCATGGCGGAAGGTCGTCCGATTCTTGGTGGCGTGCAAGAAGGGCGTCTCGGAGAATGGTAGCTCGCTCTAACGGTTCCGTGATGAACTTTCCGTTGTGATTGAGTGGCGGAGGGGCTTTGACCTGTCTATAGTTTACTGAACGCATC